CAAGCCAAACTTTTAAACCAAATAGGGGAATAAGACCAGGTGGCCCACTCCCTATATATATTAATATTATATTTAGAAGCCCTCGTTAGGTAGATATAAAACCTATCAAGGGTGAAAGTGCAAATCTAAGAATCAAAGCTTCCATAAATGGTCCAAAAATACTAGTTGCTTCATTTTTCCTAAAGATGATATTGAAGAAAGTTATAGTGTCAAATTTATCCTAGACAGTTTTGCAAAAACATTATGTCAAACATCAAAGTTCCAAAAGTCAACAATGATTTTTTTAAAAGAAAACCTGAATAGGTTTCAAAGGATTCTAGTAAGAATGACTAGGACCTTGAGAATAAATAAAGAAGAAAAATATCTAGGAGTTTCATAATAGAAAAGAGAGTAATAAAAGGCACCTTTAATATGTTTATGGAAAAAACCAAGGTAAATTAGAGGGCTGAAAAAGTAAAACTTTATCAATTAGAGGGAGAATAACCTTGTTAAAAGCAATAACAAGTAATAATCTTGCTCAATACCAAATGAGCACGGCTGGGATCTTATAAGAAGCAATCAATGAAATGGAAAAACCTATAGGAGATTCTTATGGGGCATGAAAAACCATAAAAATATTTTCTCTTACAAATTGGGAAATTGTTTGTAATGATAAAAGAGATGGTGGTTTAAGAATAAAAAATGTACCAAAGTAAAAAAGGCAAACTTAACAAAATTAGGGTGAAAGATCCTAAATGAGAACAAACTTTTTTTATTATAAGTGGTCTATAAAAAATACTTGAGGTAAGAAAAGTTTTTAGACCACAAGTACAAAAATCGACCTCTTGGGCTTAGAAAAAGGTTAACCAACAAAATATTAAAAAAAAATGTAATGTAGGAAATTTGATATGGGAGAAATGTAACTTTTGGTTGGATAATTTGATAGATATAAAGCCCATAAAAGATCTATGGAGTGAAAGAGAATGGACACAAGAAATTGTAAATAAAATTGAAGTAATCTATATCATAGTGGAAGTGAAAGAGGATAGGAGAATGCATGGCAAATGGTCTAATGGAAACATCATAGTAAAATTGACATACAATTGTGTAAGAAGAGAAGGGAGGCAATAGATTCAAATACTAATAAGTTCATTAGAAAATCTAGGAAAATTACATGTCAAGAGAACATAAAAAATTTCCTCTAACTTTTGCTCTTAAGGTTGCGTTTGGAATTGGTGTAAATCAAGAACGATGTAAGAATTTACATCAGTTCGCCTTTGTCGGCATTTGGAAGGAGTGTGTAATCATAATCGACATAAAACTCCACTTTTTTTTCAATTTTGAGTGCATTTGGATGGAGTGGAGTTTTATGTCATGAATCGGTGTAAAATCTCATTAAACATAAAGTTTTACATCGATTATCGATGTAAATACTACATCGATAAAATCAATGTAAAACATTTCTCTGATCACATCACACTTTTCAAAACTGCAACGGTCAAGAACTCATGGTTCAGTGTAAAATGTCTGGTATACTTTTACACCGATGACATTTTACATCGATTTCAGATGCAACCTAAATAAATTATCACTGAGGAAACACTTGGTGACCAAAGGTTTGGGCATAAACATAAACTGTCCATTTTGTGGGGAGGAAAAAGATTGAGACCATATAATGGGGAAATGTTAAATGGCTAGACAAGTGTGGAACCTTATGGACCAACACATATTAGAAAAAGTAATAATTGATGGTTAAAATCTAGATGATTGGTGGAACCGAATGATGGATGAAAAATTGAAAGTTTAGTACCATGGTTTTGGGAGAAATTTGCATACACTTTTTGGAACTTATGGAAAAATAGAAATAAAAAAATATTCCAAAATAAAAGTAATACACCCATGGTAATTGTCAATAAAATACGAGTTTATCAATGCAAAATTGATTGTTGAATCATAAAATGGGAATCAATCTCAAAGCACATACCTAAACTAGATCAATGAGAATCGCCTTCCTGAGATGTTTTAAAAATAAATATTGATGCTTCTTCCAAGGAAAGTGGGATATGTGTATTTGGGTGCATTCTAAGAAATTTCAAAAGAGAAGTTCTACATGCCAAAATCGGTCCTATCAGATTTACAACAATCACTGTAGTAGAGATGTGGGCTGCCCTAGAAGCTCAAAAACTAACCACTTAAATCCCAGCCTTGCATATCATAATTGAAGGAGACTCCCTCATTACAATTAAAGCACTTAAAGGTGAATTTCAACCTCCACTGTGGTGTTCTCCTCTCATCCATTCAATTAATGCATGTTTTTTTTTTAAATCAAATTAGGTAAATAGTTTACAAAAAAAAAGCATAAAATCTATCCTAAAACATCTAAATGATGTATTGATATAATTTTGGAATATATTATATTATGGTTTATATGACTCCACTACTCTAGGAGATTTGCTTTAGTGGCCTAGATTTTTAGGTTGATTTGGTACAATTTTTGGAAGGCTTTGATTTGTTGTAATCTTGGTGTACTACTGGGCTGGTTAAAATTGTCTTACCTTGTTGGTCCCAAGCCTGGATAATGGAAGATGTTTGCGTCATGTTGATATTTAGCATTAAAACTTTTGCCAAACTGTCATAGTCATGAATCCTAATTTGTCCTTTCATGCTCATGTTGGAGTGTTCCTTAGAAGTGACATGCTACACTTAAACTCAAGTTTAAAGTAAAGTATGTCATTGAACATAATATAATGACTTTATGTAACCAACTCCATATAGTTGGGGCATCTCTTAGATGATGATGCCAAGATTAATTCATCAATATTAAGAAACCACTTTGATGGTCTGAATCTTTGGATTGATTTGGTTTATCTTTTGGATGTGTTGGATATTAGATGGAATCTTGTTACATCATTTAGATGGGCTAGATTAGATGAAAATTTGATACACCATTTGGATGGTTGTTATTCATCATTGCATATATACATGTTTTATATAGTTAGGAAAAAAAGATACATGCATATACTAGTGTTTTAAAAGCCAATAAGGAGAATGAACTGCTAACCCTTTTTTGTTGAATGGCTTGACTAACAAACCTTCTCAATGTATAATAATAGGTTGATGTGGACAAGAAATAAATGAATTTTTGAATAAACGACCATAGAAATATTAAAAGATCATGAAAAGTCGATACTCATTGTTTCATTTATTTTACCATATTTTGATAGTTCATAAAGGGTCTTGATTCTAAGTACTTTATTATATTTCTGACCCTGAAACTTAATACTATTGTATAATATGGCGCTATATGTATCGATACTTTAAACCTTGGTTATAATTAGACATTCACAAAATTTTTGATTCCCATCTTTTAATATTTGACTAAATTGATTATCAAAATAGTAAACAGATGAGCCAATGAACTTTCCCAAAATTCCCATTTTAAGTTGGTCATGGGGCTCACAACAATGGCAGGCAAGAAGTGCTGCAATTTTCATGTTGTTGACATTCACGAATTTGGTTTTTAGTTCCAACTGATTCAAGAATTTGGAATGAGAGCATCCATCAAACTTTCATCTACACTCGGTCCACTATTGGGTCAGGAAGCATCTCTGGGGGCATTTTGGTCATTACACCTATAGCCATTGATTACCAAAATGCCCTCAAGATGCTATGCTGCTGAACAGCATTATCAACAGAATCCGTGTGCTGCCAATGAAGAATCTTTATCAACAAAATCCGTACTCATTGAAACAGCATTATCAAGTTCACCACAATAATTGGGGCCCCCACCATATATACCAGCCATATGCATTCGTCCAAATTGTCTACAGATGCTTTGGTACATCGGCTGCCTTTTCTTCTTTTTTTTTTCCTTTCCAAATTCCAATAGAATGTAAGTTAAGACTGTGTATGATAAAGAGGAGGGGTGTGGAGCCCATGCTGTTGCATGTCCATGTTTCAGGAATCAGGGCCCACCATTAATGGATTTGTGCCCGGGCTTGGCCTGGTTTCAGCCCAATAGACCTTGTCCAATTCTGGCCCACTGTAATTTGGGTTGATTTCTAGCCCAGCCTCCTCTGGCCTGAAATTCACACTGAACTGTGATTTGTAAATCTCAACTTAATTTTGATCAAAGTTGAGAGAAAAGATGGAAAGGATTTGATCTTTTACAAATTATAAGTGCATGTTGGATCAGCCCAAGCGTCCTCAGGCTTGGCCAGTATCAATCTGAAACCAGACCAAGCATAACTTAGTTCTATCTAATGGTATAAATGGATCAAATTCAAATAAAAGCAAGCAGTATCTAAATTAAATCCGATTAAAAAATTTGATATCCGAATTCGATTCGATATCTGATAGATATTGAAAATCAATGTTCGAATTCAAATTTAATTGTTTAATTATTTTAGCTAATTAATAAATATATAAAATAAATATTTTATTTATATAAGAATTAAATAATCGATCAAATTTGGATATTTATCAAATTAAATAAGGTCATATCCGAATTCGATTCAATTACTTAAACGATATGAATAGAATATCCGAATTTAATTCATTATGATATTCAAATTATTCCAATTCGATTCGATTATCTTGAATCTCAAATTCGAGATTAGATTTTCGGACACCCCTAGGTCCATTGGCCTGGTCCTTTGAGCCTGGGCTAGCTAGTCAGGGCCGGTTCGGGCCATACTCAGGAACTATAGAGCCAGTCGATTATCTTGAATCTCAAATTCGAGATTAGATTTTCGGACACCCTTAGGTCCATTGGCCTGGCCCTTTGAGCCTGGGCTAGCTAGTCAGGGCCGGTTCGGACCATACTCAGGAACTATAGAGCCAGCCCTTTTAAACCAAAAAAAAAAAAAAAACCCAGAGCCAGCCCACTTCAGGGTGTTGTTGAATTTTCTCAGCCCAAGTCCAAATCCAGGTCCAAGTCGGTGCGTAGGTTAAGCTTTTTCGTACCCCCAGCATATAATAGCCACATCCGTGGGAGGACTCCTCTATGATCTTCTGACGAGTGACGAGAGAGAGAGAGAGAGAGAGGAGAGAGAACGCTTTACCTTTGCTCGATGTAAAAGACCAGGAAGCCCAAGTCTTATTCCGTTTTATGATGTTTCTGTCGGTTTCTTCACTGTCACTCTCTCGTCGCCATTGCCTTTTCTTCCTTCACCTCAACCAGATTCCTTAAAACTGTAAGTTTCTATTCCATTTTGATTCTCTATTTATAATTATCTCTCCCGTTTCTCTTCATTTCTCTGTTTAGTCATCTGGGTATCTATAACTTCGGGGCTCTGTGTTAAATCCGAGCTTTAATTCGAAGTCTAGGGCTTTGAAATGGAGGTTTCTGAAGCGAAAATGATGATAAGAAATCTGAAATTCGGGTTCTGAGACTTATTTAACTTTCTTTTTGGGTTTGGTGTTGCTGAAATAGTAGATTGATCGTGGGTTTCTTGAGTAGCATTGTTGGGTTGTTTGGATTTGGTTGTGCACCATATTAATTGGAGAGGTTGTTCATTTAGTTGGTTGCTGTTGGAGGAAAGGAGGCATATTGATGAAGGAAAATGCCAGTAAAGCATAAGAAGGAATTGGTTGATTTCTATGAAGGTTGAAAACTTAATGATTTATTTACGATTTTTTCAGCTTTTAGCACAAGGCGGGGTTGGGGTGGGGTATGCTTGGTTAGTTTGAGTTCCTAGGTCATTAGGATTTGTAGGTTTGAGAGGTAATGCGAATTGTTTTGTCTGCTCCATGGTTTTACCTTAGGGGGGCCTTTAGTTAACTGAAACTTCTCCGAGATGGACCTCATAATTAGGTATTAGCGGGTTTTCACTTCTTCTGAACCGGAGACTTTCGTTTTTCATCTAGCAAGTTTCAGGTTTTGTGTTTTTGGGCCTGGTTTTCTCTTTTCCTGATTTGAGTTGCTGAGTTCTAACTGTTAAATGTGAATGGACCTGAGTTATTTGAGTAGTATCTTAAGGCATAGGTTTTCTGTTCACCTCGTTTCGTAATGGTTTTTGGACTTTGTCTGGTTGGGAGCTCTGATTTACTGTAAAGATGACGACTGTCTAATGCATGAGAAGAAGAAGAAGGGGAGGGGGGATGCTGGATCTATAAATGGTCTTTAACTTTTTATTTTTTTGAAGATAAATAAAAGATATTTTATTGCTAAAAGGAAAAACATTACAACACCCCCTCCGGATTACAGCAATGAAAGCCACAAAACAAAAAGAAGCACCATTTCATAAACAATACACATCTCAGTACACCTATTAAGAATTCAGAGTAGACCAAAATTCAGCTCCAAAGTCTTTTTTCCGCAGTCCTTGAAACTCTGGAAGCAGTAGCACCCACCCAATAACTGTTGAACTAATAACAGCTACCAACTCTTCCATTCTTTTTTCTTTCCCCTCAAAGCTCCTTCTGTTTCTTTTCTTCCATATTTCCCAGCAAACAGCAAAAGGGATACATGTCCACAGGATCTTGATTTTAATTCCACCTTGAATTCTTGGCCAGCTGCTGAAAATCTCAGACGCCAAAGGACTCTTTACCACCTTGAATAACTTGAAAAAATAGGACCAAATTGGGTATGAAAAGTTACAGTGGAGCAAAATATGAGACACATCTTCCTCAGCAGCACAACATAACACACATCTACTTGAAAACTGCAGCCCTCTGAGTTTCGAGATATCCTGTGTTAGAATGCATCCTCTTACAATCAACCAAGCAAAAAGCTTCAGCCCTTGGTGGTACAGGCTTCCCCCAAACACCTCTAATTGGATCAGTCGCCACCTGATTTCTGACCAATGCCGAGTACAAGGACTTGACAGAAAACTTCCCATCCTTACTCTCTTTCCATAATCTAACATCTGTGACTGAGGGGTTGATCTCTAATGCCTGAAGTTTTGCAAGCAACTCCACACACTCCTCCACTTCCCAATTGAAAATAGGTCTTCTAAAATTTGGCCTCCAAACTACAGCACCATTAACTACTTCGTTGCAATCTGAAATCAGCACTTCTTTCTTACTCAGATTATATAACCTTGGACATAAATCAGCAAATTTCCCCACCCTGACCAATCATCTTCCAAAACCTTATACTTGACCCACAGCCCACTTTCCATGTATAGAAAGGAAACATCAAAGAGTTAAAACTTATAATACCTTTCTGTACACAGACTCCATATGCCTGTCTCATCTCCTTTGAGTCCCACCCCAAATTCATCACCCTTTACTTGCAAGCCACCACTCTCCTCCAAAGAGCCTCCCTTTCTCTTCCAAACCTCCACACCCACTTCCCCGATAATGCTTTGTTAAAGACACCAACCCTTTTCACCCCTAAACCCCCATCTCTTTTGGATCTACACACCATCTCCCACTTGACCAGATGTAACTTCTTTCTCTCAGCCCTAGCATTCCACAGAAATTCTCTCTCCAACCTTTCAATCTCCCCCACCACAGCAGCAGGAGCTTTTAGTAAAGATAAATAATAAACCTGCAAATTTGAAAGAACACTTTTATCAATGTGAATTTCCCTGCAAATGATAGATATTTCCCTTTCCACCCAGCAAGCTTCTTGTCAATTCTGTCCAAAACAGGTTGCCATGTAGAAACTGAAATAGCTCTAGCACCAATTGGAAGTCCAAGATAGGAAAAAGGAAACTCCCCAATCAAACATCCCATGGCCTTAGCACACTCTTCAATCACCAACTGCTGAATATCACCTACCCCTATCATTATGCTCTTACTTAAATTAATCTTAAGACCTGAAAGCAACTGAAAGCTGTTAAGAATACTTCTTAGAGACATAGCTTGCTCAGCTGATGCCCCCAAGAAAATTAAGGTATCATCAGCATATTGCAAATGAGATATCACCAGCCCTTCCTTCCCAACCCTGAACCCTGAAATCAGCCCTAACTCCCTCCCTTTGTCAATGAGCTTGCTCATCACTTCCACTACCAACACAAACAGCAAAGGGGAAAGAGGTTCCCCTTGCCTTAACTTTTGACGCATACACAATGACATACAGTCTATTCATTCTTTTTGTTTTAATACAATACTTTACTCAAAAACAATGGCATACTGTCCATTCATTCTCCTCAGATACAAAAACAATGTCTTGCCAACCGTTGCAAAAGTTTCTGAAGTTAAGATCCTCAAGTTCTGGAAAGATAGAATACTAAAAGGTCTTTTTAATCAGTGAATACTTAATGTTTAGCATATTCTATATTTTCCCAATCACCGTTAAAGTAGCTTTTGCCCTCAGACGTCATGTCACTTTGCTCTTTCCAACTTCTAAGTATACAACAAATCCATAAGTAGGGTTAAATTCCATATTATGTGGTTCTGTCTAGGAAATCCTTTTATGGTCATGCATGAATATATCTTTCCCTTGGGATGACCTATTATCCAGACAAACTAATGAAGTGCAGGTCCAACCATATATCCATGGAGAAGGGACAAGGAGTAAGAGATTTGAAACCTTATTGTGTATTCAGAAAAAAAGGGACATACTTTTGGGTGTCTTGTTTTCTTGTGACCTAAATAAGTAACTGATATGAAGGAAAGTTTTATGATTAAACCATAAAATTCCTATTTGGGTGTGCTTCCCCAGTTCTCATGTAACCTTATCATGATATCTTTGTTTTCTGCAGTCAGTTACTGATTCATCTGTTTCACAATCATTTATTTGGTCTTCTGAATGACGATTCCACATGACTTCATTTTCTACAACTTCATAGCTGTCTTGGAATGGTGCACCTGTTGCTACAACCAAGGTTCAAAGTTTTGATATGATATGCCCTGTATTGGGTGTATCATATTGTATGATCATATCTTTTGACTCTGGATATGCCTATTTAAAGGGAGTTTGAGAAATGCTTCTTTTTTTTAATAAACAAAGTATATAAAATATTATAGTTTTATAAGATTTTGAAAAAAAAACTAAAAAAATGTGAAGGTGGAAGGTTCAAAGTATCAATACACCCCTTCCACTGTATCGGGGTGTATCGATACTTTGAACCTTTTTTTTTTTGATAGGTAAAGAAAATATTCATTAATTAATTAAATAAAAAAGTATACAAACAAGCATCCCAAAGGGAGGTGCAAGTTGCAGCCTCAAGTATATCAGCTTACAATTGAGCCCAAAAAATAGATTCCCTAAATACCCCTTACTTAGCTAGAAAATCTTCTAACCCATTGGCCAACCTCCTTTTCCAAAGAATCTTTACAGTCATATTAGAGGTTAATCATTTGAATTTCTTTCTTCACAGCTTCCCTGTAGGTCTAAATAATAGTCTGGATCTGTCAGCCACCCAACTACCAGTTTAGAATCCCCCTCAATTATTAATCTGTCCGCATTTAATTGTCTTACAAGCTGCACCCCCTGCAGCACTGCTTGGAATTCAGCAAAAGAGTCCCCCAGACCAACTGGGCCTGAAAAAATAGCAATTATATGCCTACCTTCATCCCTTGGCACACCCCCTACACCTGAAGGTCCTGAATTGCCAAGACTACTACCATAAAAGTTTAGTTTTAGGAACCCTTCTTCAGTGGGAACCCATGCTGGATTAGTCTTGGCTATAGCATCTGAACAATTTACTACAACTCTCCAATTCTGACAACTATCATTGAAGGAGAAAAGGGGAATCTACTTTAAAATTTTAACCTAATGTACAGCCCTAGTTTTGAGACAATCCCACAGAACCACCAAATTTCTTTCTTTATCATTGAAAGTTTTAGCATTCCTTTCTCCTTTTTTCTGAAGAGTAATACAAGAAATTTTATTATAAAGAAAAAAAGTTACAAAGTAAGGTGACAAGAAGGCACCTTGATAATACAAAACAATTAAAGACCAATGAAACAAACTAGTGACTGATATAAATCTGAAATTCAGGCACATTCCAAAAGATCTCCCCGAAATCTGATCGGCTAATCTGTTCAAACTCTAGGAGTACCAGATCCCAATGTGAGACAAAATGCCTGACTAAAGCCACCAGCGCCTCAGTAGTTTTGAAACAACACCCCCTTAAAGACCTTTGAATGGTCTTTCCTGTGCTCCTCCTCTCCTCCCTTCTCCCCTTCCGTTCCAGTGTCGAAAAGTCTTCCCAAAATAAAACCTTATTTCCAGTACAAGCAATTATACCTAGTAAGGCTTAAAAACTGAGGAAGAATGCCATGTATGGCTTTCCACGAT